TATCAATATGTATAGTGCTTGTTAAATGGCACTTTGTTTAGTAAAACTTGCAAGTCATTTCAAACATCGATATTTTCCACATTTATGACTATCCATCCAGATCAGTGATTCCCAAAGTCGTCCAGTTGGACCACCAGGGGCCCACGGGACACTCGACGGGGGTCCACGGGAAACTCGACGGGGGTTCACGGGACTCTCGACGGAGATCCACCGGACACTCGACGGGGGTACACGGGAGACTCGACGGGGCTCCACGGGAGACTCGACGGGGGTCCATGGAACACTCGAAGGGGGTCCACGGGAGACTCGATGGTGGTCCACGGGAGACTCGACAAGGGTCTATGGGAGACACGACGGGGGTCTTTAATTTGACGCACTGCTGCACTTACCGTCACTTTGTGTCTTCATACGTGGGGAAGCCTTAAAGTCCACCTGCAGACTAAAAAGTACCGGCTGTTGGTATAACACTGAGGGAGGTGAGTCGGAAATTGCTGGCGGCAGAGATTTGAGCACTTGTGTCTCTATAATGCTGAGTTCCCTGAGGGAGAATGATGGTTTAATTCCAGCACTGAGCCCGAACCAGTTACTTGTAACCCAATGCAGCTGTAAATCTTTCTATCGTCATGAACCAATACCAAACAAAAACTTTTACTTTTGGTTGATGAAGTTGAACGGGTAACGGACGCGTCTAGTAACCGGTCATTAAGGTACCAGAGGGCTGATGTGACTTACGCCACTTTCAAAATAAAAGGCAAATTTTTTATATTTTTAAATTTTTTCTCTTTAACCGACTTCACAGAAAGGAGAAGGTTATCAATTCGTCGAAATATATTTTTATTTTTTTTGTATGTATGTTACCGCTTAACTTTGGACCACGTTAACCGATTTCTATAATTATATTTTTAAAGGAAAGATGTTACCTCACAGGTGGTCACATACTAATCTGGTTTAAATTTGAACATTGGATGAAGAAGAAATTAACGATAATCTTAAATTTTTAAATGAGAATTGAAGTTAGTTTTTTTGCTTGAAAATTGTTTGTTGTTTGTTTGCCTGAAACCAGTACACAATGAGCTTTGGTTCAATATTTTTCGCTACATAAGTAGTAGTACAATAGGGTGGTCCAAAAATACATGCGGGCAAAAAGTTAATGTTAAACTCTCACCACATAAAGTTTTTCTAAATGAAAAAAGAATACCTGTATTTTCTCGCAAAAAAAAAAATAATAAGAACTGCCTCAAACTTATGCCGAATTTCCACTAGGCAATGAAAGAACAAGAAATGTATGCCATTTAAAAAAATGCCACGCGGAAAAGAACTTAATGACAATTTCTTGAATGTAATGGCACAATTATTTTTTAATGCCCGACTTTGTCATTTGTAATTTTTGCCATTTAATTCCTAGTGGAAATCCAGCATTAGATTGTTCAATTGACTATAATTTTTGAAAAACCTTTTCCGAGCTCCTTTAATTCCTGCTGTCGAAAATCGAGACGAGATTTTTTAGTTTCAGTAACTTTGTTTTTGTGATTTTTGTGGCACATAAAAATCTGGGGCTCTTACTAGTCTTGTGTAAATTTTACCAAAAGTTGTGAAATGTTTTTAAAATGATAAGTAAACTTTTTTGCATAAGTGTGTACAGGCATACATATGTAAGTTCTATGCAGTTACTGTGCAAATGTAAATTTGGCGTATGATTCCGAAGATACTTTATGACATCGATAATTTTTATCTTTTGATAATTAAGCGAGTGACGCGTGCCTTCAACTTAGAAGCTAAAGTAACAAATATGGCGTTAGTAGCATACACATGCACATATGAAGACACCTACATATGTACATATGTATATCAAACAATATGGCGTTCGAAGTGGTGAAGAAAGAAAAGTTTTTATCTTAAACTTATTAAATTAAAAAAAAATAAAATCAAATGAAATAAAATAAAAGAAAAATAAAATTAAATAAAAATAAAAGAAAAACAAAATAAAATAAAGTAAAATAAAATAAAATAAAATAAAATAAAATAAAATAAA